GATGGCTTGAGCCATTCTGCAGGTTCCCTGTCCAACTGGATTCTTCTTATACCCTTTATTTCTACTAAATTAGAAAATCCTAATTTACTTTCTGGGTTGTTTGGAAAGGCAGTAAGTTCTGCCAGTCAGTTCGGATACTTGAATCAAATGTGGACCAGATATTATGGAGGTTTCTTTCAGTGCTATCAGATCTGAGTCAGCAAGATTCTTTTCTTTTTCTTTTTTTCTTTTTCTTTTTTTTTTCCCTGTCACCTGCAAAAGTAGGAATGCTGAATATTTTAAGCTGATGAAGATATGTGGGTTACTGTTTTTCATCTTTATTGATGTATAATTGCAATAAAAATTGTAAGATATGTAATATACATGTTTATTGCGAAAGGATTCCCCCATTTAGTTAATTAACACATCCATCATCTCATATTTATCTTTTTTTAGTGAGAACATTTAAGTTCTATCTACTGACATAGAAAATTTCAATTATATGATACAGTGTTATCAACTATAGTCGCCATGTTTTACATGAGCTCCTCAGGCCTTATTCATCTTATAGCTAACAGTTTGTGCCCTTTCACCATCATCTCCCTATTCCCCCCTCTCCCTGCCTTCCCTCGCCCCCCCCCCCAGCCACAGAAGCAAGTGGGTTTCTAATTCTCTGATGCCTTGAGTTCTGGAAAATACTTCTTCATAGTCTATTGGAGTGTTTGGATGTGTCTTTTAAGTATGATTTTAAATGTACTATAGATTTTGTTCTCTAATGAATAAAAAGAATAATCTAAGGTTGGGAAAGAGTCAAATCCTCCACATTTAACCATCTGCACCGTGCAGGTTTCTTAAGAAATCCTATTATTGAATCCATAGAATTTAAAATCATGTTATTTTGGCCCTTACTTCGAGCTGTCAAATCTTCAAGCTGTTCTGGCTATTGAATGTGTTGCTGAGATCATGTAATCAAGCCACTCTGAAGCGTATACATGTTCTTTATTGCATTATCAGTACCATGAAGAAATGTTTCTATCTCCTCTTTCATTTTAAAAACATATGTGATCACTTTTTTGAGTGCTTAGTATGTGCCAGGCCTTGTTCCAAATAGTCACCTATAGCNGTCATGACTTTTCCAACAACCCAATACTTATTATTAGTTAAATACATATTACAAAATGTGAATACAGTTTAAATAAAAGTAATGAATCTAATGTTCTAAGATGTCCCCCACCCCCCACCCCCACAGGCCCTCTGGGGTACTCTGAGACCCCCTGGGAGTTGTTGAACCATATTTGGAAATAACAGCTGCTGAATATTATCAATTCTCTTTTAAAAAGAGTCTGTAAGAAAAGAAAAAAAGTGTGTTGTCAGGCAATTTATTCTAAGTATTTTAAAACATGAATGTTGATAATGGTACCTCCTGTTCTGAGCCTCTACTGTTATCAGTGTTCTTCTCAAGGATACATTTGGAAGGCTTTAACAGAAAAGGGTTGGACGACTTGGGGGCGGGGCAGCTCAGGGGAGCAGCCTGTCCCTGGGTCATGGGGAGATGCCCACCCTGCCCTGAAACAGCACATGGAGAACCCCCCAGGTGCCTTGGTTCCCACGCTTGACAGCATGGTGCTCAAGTTCCACTTCCAGAGTCTTGTTGAATTCTAGATCAGAGAGCAAAATTAAAGTACAGAACACATGGAGGTTGTTTCTTACCCGTCAATATTTAATTTTTATTTTCTAAATAATAACAATAGCAACAAAGACAGAAAGAAGAAGTGCTTACAGACTGATGTTGAAATTTCAGGTGCTAGCTCTCCTGAGTTTAATTACAAGGGCAGGCACAGCCACATTAGCAAAATGACTTCACTGTTGATGTGAAAATACTTAGGCCATGATGTGGCACATTTTCTATAATTGCTATCATTTCTCATTGTGTTAACAGTTCCAGAAACCAGATTAAAGTGGGGGTGTGAAGTGAGTTTGTACATGGTGATTCAAATGCAAACTTGACTTACGGAGCTTCTAAATGAAGCTGTATGTGCTTGAACATCCTTGCTCATGTTTACAAATTACAAGGTCAAGTCAAGGCTTCGTGAATCTGGTTCTTTCATTTTGGCAAAGGGCTGCTGAGTGCCTCCTGCGCGAGACATCGTGAGGAGCTTCAGAATTATGCTTGCTAGAGTCATTTTAAATGTGGATAATTTCACCAACCGTCACTTTCTTGTTCCTTCTGAGTGTTGACTTTTTAAATAAGTTTATTGTAAAAACAATATTAAAATTACAACAGACATCCAAATAAAACATTGCCCACAATCCCAGCATCTGATTAAGTCAGTGTTTTTATTTTTTCTCTATAACTTCTTAGCTCTTATCCATTTGCATATGCAAATGTACATGTTTGCAATAGTAATATAGGTAAGCATTTATAGTCTAAATTTTCCCTTAACTTTATTGAATGCTTTTTTCATTTTTTCCTATGATTTTT